ACGGTCCCGTACCGTTACGTCGTACGGTACGACGACGACGACGTAGTACGACGTACTACTACTAACGACGTACGTGTAGTATATATACTGTAGGTAGAGAGTGCTCTCTCTCTCTCTCTCTCTCTCTCTCTCTCTCTCTCTCTCTCTCCACACACACACACTGACAGAAGGCTCTCTGAGAATTTGGCTTTTGTTGAATCATCCAGTGAAACACACTTCAGTAGTAATTATTTGCAATGGATGCTCAGTTTTCCTTACCAATGAGGAGAACTATTGGGAAACTTCTGACTTAAACCAAACACTTCATTTTTAAACAAACTATACCAGTATTCTGAAATCCAAAAACAAAACAAGTTTTGAGGAAGAGTTCCTATGTCCTTTGCCTAATTTCAAAAGAACTTTGTTTCTAATGATAGGAAATAGGAAAGTTCTGTCAACCAACCTAGTCTGATATGAAATTAAACGTTCTATTGAACACTGGTCCTTAATTTTAGCAGTCAATTTAATTTTACACCATATTGAGTTCGAAATGGTGGCCTCAAGGTTGTGACTTTGACACAACTGTTTGAGCTATGAGCTTGAACCCATTTCTATTTTTGATAATATATTGTTTGTGGCCACATTTAGTATTTCATATATTGGCCTTAATTTATGGTTTGGAAATTCTTTTTTGTTCTGTTAGAAATATGGAATTTGGCTGGAGGTCATTTGATGCAATTCTTTAAAATATCCCATATATTGAAAAAGTAATAGAAAAAGAATCTGATAGACACTTTTGCGTTTTTCAAACAAAAAATTTTCTTTTGAATTCATGAAGATCAGAACTTCACGATTTATGACAACTAAGTGGATCAAGTACAGAGCTAATTTTAGCGTCTAAAATTTCAGCTGAAACATTTGTTACAATTAGATTAGGCGGAATCTCGATTACTAAGATTTGCAGACTAATTGTCCCATTAGAAGAAAAGTGAAATGGAAAAAGAGAAAAAGAAAAAGAAAAATAACAACTTTAGGCAGTTCTCTCTACTAAACCATACGAGGGCCAACTTTAGATGAAGAGAAGAACCTCCTGGATTGCAGCAAAGCCATGGATCTAAGTTTGCTAAAAGGGGAGTCCAAAATTATAAAGGCTTCGGTTGTCCGGGAATACAAAAATTTTGAAAAATCTAAGGAGGCGATATGAATGAGAGGGCATGAGGCTTGTATGACAGTGAGATGATTGGGGGTGAAGAAGATTCACTTTCTGTAAATAAATATTTCATCTATTTAGTTGGAAGATTTTTTTCTCAAATATGAGGTAAAAATGAGGATTGCAGGGAGAGCTCTTCCCAATTTGGGTATAAAAAATTTGAAATCATTGAGATACTTCATTTCCAGGGAAGAGTATCTTAAAAATTGTCAAGGGCTCAATCGGGTTGGGTCCCCAGATCTGACAGGTTGTCCTTACTACTTAGTTTATGGACTCAGCCGGTTAGGGCCAGGTCTAGAAGTATGGAACTGCCCAACAGGTATGCCTGTCAATCGGGTTGGGTCAACTTCCAGACCCAACGAATTGATACGACTTGGGTTCCTGGTCTAGCTTTTGGGCAAGTTAGGTCCAGAAGCATGGACTTGAGAGTCGGGTTAGGTTTGAATCCAACTTGGACCTAACCAAGTTGGATTTGGATAGGGTCGAGCATGACCTGACCAGTTATTTTCTAAATATAAACGTACATGTATAGACCTAGACCCAACCAGACCTAATGGGTCAAATCTGGTGCGATCAACTAAAACCAGAGGTCTGGGTCGGATATACACCCACTCCATTTATACATATCATGTCTCACCCACTCCATTTATACATATCATGTCTCTTTTGAGGGTTACTTTCAAATCAAAAGATATAGGTAAAATGCTAAGTAATTCATCTCCTATACATGTTATGATTAAATTTCCCCAAATAAATTGAACAGAACAACCAGCATATTCAGAGATTACTGATAAACAATACCCATGATTTCAATGGTAAAGTTATGCGTGTAGGATGCGTGAATGATCAATGTCACGTTTGTTTCTTGTTGAAGCAGGGAGCCTCGGGATATTTCGTTTAGAGAGAGCTTTTCCATCATTCCGAAAGCACTTTTACACCTAAATAAATATTTGTTGTTTTTATCACGAAAATTTATAAAACGTGAGGGAAAAGCGAGGAAGAACTTTGCCAACTGCTATGCTTTCGTAGAAAACAAACATGGGAAAGTAGTAGTACCACATGGAGATTTAGGGGTGGCAATGGCCCTACCCAATAGGTTTCCATAGGCCCAGACCCGACCAGGTTTCTGCTAGGCCTGTACCCGATCCGGTTTCCTCTAGGCCCGAACCCTACCCAGTCTTGGGTCAAGTACAAGTAACTTGGACCCAGACGTGGACCTAACTCAAGCCAAGTAGAAGTGATTTGGACCTGGGTCAAGTCCCTATCATCTGGACCGGGGCTCGAGTCTAGAAATTAAAAAATATGAAAAGATATTTTGTAAATTATTTAATATTATATTTGTATATTTTATATGTTTTATGTTAGATCGGGTTAGACCGGACCCACACCCATACCTGGACCCGACCCACCGGGTATACGACCCGAACCCGGACATGGAACCGGTATGGGTCGGCCCAACCTCATTGACATCCCTATTGAGGAAAAACTAGTGTTTAATACAATAGTTGTATCATAGTATAATGCAACTACACGTCTAGAAAATCATGTTTATGGTATTTGTATGACTCAAAATTTTACACACACATTTTCTTCATCTCAATAATCAATCCCAAAAAAAAAAAGGTTCGATTTGGATTCTAGATTTGGTTAAAATGAATCCCTTCCAATAATGAATATAGACCATTCATTTGGTTAATTTCAATATCTTAGCTTTTACAAATTCAAAATTATTATTATTACTATTTTTGACATGGTTCATCTAATGATAAAAAAGCCATTTAAAAATATTGGAAAAGAAAAAATCCTTCTAAGGCCTAGATCTAAACATCTTATCAAAATAGATGGCTTATGTTAATTGGGCTAAAAAAATACTTTTGATGTTGCGATTTCTTTTTTTTTTTTATTGTTCATTAGAATGAAGGAGGGTATATTTTAAAATTTAGATCAAACAAATGGCCTTAACATGATTTTTGAAGATTAATGCATTATATTACTATGCAACTATTGTCCAAAACGTTTTAAGGGTTCTCTCCCATGATACAAGCATTGCGGCAAAAGAAACCTTGATAGCTAGTTATGACCTATATACCCCCTTTTCAGGATATAGCTAGAAGTATCATTTATATATCAAAATGTTGAATTAATGAAAAAAGAAAAATACTATTGCAAATTTTTGCTCTAATTTAACTCACTAATTGGTGACTAAAATGTTCTTTGGTCACTTGGCTAAGCCGTTTTCTTTGATTCAGGCGCACCCGAACCTCAGCAAAAGTGAGAGGAAGAGGTTGTGCCGCTTGTTGGACTGCAAGAAACTGTCAATGGAAGCATGCATGCACGCAGCCCAAAATGAGCTCCTCCCCCTCAGATTGGTGGTGCAAGTTCTTTTCTTCGAGCAGGTTCGAGCTGCCACCTCAGGCAACGGCCCAGCAGCCGAACTCCCCCACAATCTCAAAGCTTTGTTATCGGCTCACGAAGAAGATGGTGTCTGCCGTGCCAGAGAAGACTCGTGGAGTGTCGGGGGCCTAAAACCTTCAAAGCAAAAGCTTACCACTTTGCGAATGAGACTTGCCGAGGCTGACAATGATCAAGAAGATGAGGTTGCCATGCATGATGGTGGTGGTTGTGTAAGTGGTGGGAGGAACTCCTCCATGCTCAAGGCCATATGCTCCATGCCCAACAGGCCCAAGAGAATGCTCAGTAAGTTATGGTCAAGCAACAAGAGTGTAAGTGACAAGCATTGATTCGTTATTGTTATTGTGTTTAATGTGTTTATCTGGTTGGGGGGGGGGGGAGGGGTTGGTTCACCTTTTGTTCTTTTAGTTTTGGTCCACATGCTTGTGGCAAGCCAAATTATAATGTATTCTATAAGGAAAAAGGGAAGAGTCGCAATAAAAGCACATTAATTTTCTTCATTTTTTTTTATTTTTTTCCATTTTTGTGAGCTTATGTGTAGATGTAGAGCATTCAATAAAACCAGACATATTTCTTCTTTCTTTTTTTGGGGTAAATCAACAGAAAAGCCTCCTCTGCCCTTTTTTCCATTACGCACTAAGGCCCTTTAAAAGGGAGTAATTATTGGATACTGTGATATTAAACACTATAATAAAATCATATATTATTGAGATTGATATTGATATTGATAAGAATTTTTATATTTATTGAGATTTTTATTTTAGAGGATGTGAAATCTCTTGTTTTTAAAAAATCAAATATATTTTTTAGTGGGATAAAGATTTTTATTTGTTATATATATATATATATATATATATATATATGAAAAAAGCTAGCCTACGCGACCTCATGTATAAAAAGAAAGTACGCCAACGGTCTTGATGTTTGTGGGGGAAATATACGTGTAGGATCTCTTCTCATGCTAACTCTAAAACAGGGAAATTCTAAGTATTAAAAAAAGCTCATAGCCTGACAAGGCAGTGCTTCTCGCTCTACTCGTGAACCTTCGCACTCTCTCTATATCTCTCTCTCTATGCCTCTCTCTCTCTCTGCCCCTCTCCGCCCCGCCTCTCTCTCTCTCTCTCTGCATATCTCATGTCTTAGCAGTAAGGTTGTAACCTTATACTATTAAAGTAAGGTGCACCTTGAAAATCCTATAGAAGAGAGTGTTCCAGTGTTGGAGAGCACTCTCATTGATCATCTCGATAAGGAGAATTTCAAATTTGCATATGTAACAAGTTATCTGGACCATATATTTTTCAAATGTTTTTTCTTGATTGTCTTGATTAATATTATTTTTCAAATTTATATAACTAGGGATAAAAATAGATTTTAATGCTATCATAAGGTTTTGGATGTCGGAATGCCATCTCTAAGCAAATTTTAGAGTTACGCCTTAATTCTACAATATAATGAGGTAACCTTATATAAACCTCACCCATGTGTGTAGCTGGATATTGATATGGTTGTGGAATTGAAATGTATCTCTTTTTGGATAGTGGTTTGGTTGTAGAATAGAGATAGTAGATTAGTGGTCGATGCTAGTCAAAAGACCGAGTCTAAAAAGGTTGTTCGACTTGGTTTTGTCAATAATTACGGAGATAATTTTGTGTTTCAAAATCTATGATGTAAGTTTTGCTAGTATATTAGATTTCTAGTTATCATGCCAGTGGATGTAGATTACTTGGCTCGTATTCTTTTTTATTTTGTTTTTAGTTCAATAAGTACATGTCCCAATGGGATCCAACTTTTTGGGAATCCTATTTCCACGTCTAAGAGGGTTTTAAATCCTAACAAAAGGTAGGTTTTCAAGCTCACTCACACAATTCAGCTTGATGTTTTTTAAAACCTTTCGTAAGTTTGAAATTTTATTTGAGAAAACCTCGAGAGTCAAACTTCATGTCCACAAGAGAGAGTAGGGAAAAAGACCCGGAAAGAACAAAGCTACATTGGATCGGAATTGGAGGTGAGTAATTTGGGTTTCTTGTAGAGAAGCGGTCTAATGAAGATTTTGGGTTGGTCTCTTGTAAAGAAGCAGTTTGTATGAAGATTTTGGGTGGTATCTCCCTTTTAATGAGAGAAAATACTCTCAAGATTATCTTCCTGTGGTATGCAGTTTGCATGAAGAATTTGGGTGGTGTCCTCCTTTTAATGAGAGAAAATACTCTCAATGGTCTCTTCCTACACAGCGATATGACTGTGGAATCGATTTGGTTTTGTCGATGATTAAAGAGTTAACTCTGTTCCAAGAAAAAGTAGGTTTCCACGCTTAACCACCCAATCAACCTAGGTATTTTTAAAACATTTTCTTTTCACCTAGGTATGTTTGTTAAAACCTTTTCTAAGTATAGAACATGTCTACAAGAGAGAGCACCTGGAAAGAACAAAGCTAAATTTCATCAGGATCGGAGGTGAGCAATTTTGTATTAGCCCATTCCTCCTAATTTTTTATTTTGTTTTAAAAAAATTTCAATGGAGCCCAATTTGACTCTGCGATCACCCGAATCTGACGGGTTATCGGAATCGGACCACGATCAAATGAGGGACTCTGAGAGAATCTACAGAAAGAAAATCATCGAGAACACATTCTCCTCATAAAGAAACAATTGGGTATCTTCGTTTATTTGAATTTTTTAAATGATATTTTATTCACCAAGTGAACAGCTTTTAAACCCTAGTTCTTATCATCCCTCAAATCAATCTTGAGAGGATCTTAGAGAGCAGAAAGATAATAAAATTTTCTTATCCTAATTAAATAAAAAAATACACAAACAAAAATACCCCTCTCCCTCTACAATTTCTCTCTCTACAACTAACGCCAGCATCGGTGCCTTTCGATGATGCTCTCTCCCTCTATATATATATATCTCTCTCTACAGTGTGTCTCACTCGCTCACCTTCCAAATGACTCGTACTAAAAATTCAACATCTCCTATTTATAAGCCCTCAAAGAAATGAAATCCTATTCCTAAGATAACTCTAGTACAACTCCAAATCAATCCCATTCCTACCTAAAGCTTATCCAAATATTCAAATTTAGGCGGTCCCTCATTCTTAACTCATAAAGGGCTAAGTTTATCCCACCAAAATATAACTCAATTAAATTAGGACTCCTACTATATCCAAAAACTAAGTAAAAACAAAGGAAAAAGTTTATATAACGGCTGAGGCCCTAAACAATCAAATTAAAGTGCACTTCTAGAAAAAGGTTTTTCTATGTCGAAGAACCCTCAAATTCGATCATCTCGACTTTGAGATATATAATCCTAAAAAAAAAAAAAAAAAAAGACTCCAAGTCTTGGAATAGTGCATTTGGTAAATTATCTAGACCTTCAATTTTTATGATTATCAAATATTAATAGATCTGCTTGATCTGCATTATTTTTAAAGCTTTAAATTTGGTACTAAATTGACATTAGTGCACCTTATATTGATTGTTTTAGAGTCCAGTGCGGCTTTCACTGCTCTTGCTGGGCCAGCCCCTCCGACGTGTGCTAAAGTCGGTGATGACTCTCAACAATTAGTGCAGCTGGTACTTACGAATCGTGGAAGTTGCTCATGCAATGTTGAATGAAAAGAATATACCTAAATGTATATTGGGTTGAAGCAATGCACAATGCAATGTACTTAATCAATCAGATGAAATGAAGGTGACATATCAGCTAATCTACAAGAAGAAATTGGATATCACACATTTGCATGTTTCATATGTATAGCCTATGTAAAGCGCAGTCATGAAGATCGTGACAAATTTAATCTAAAGCCATAAGTGTATTTTCGTTGGATATTCATTGCAAAGAAAAACATATCGATGCATAGATCCAGTGATTCACCACATGAAAGCAAGGATATGAAGTTTGATCAGCAGGCACAATGGCACCAAGCTGTTGAAGAAGTCGAAGAAGAAGAGGAATCTCCACCCAATGAAGATCAAAGTACCCCTTAAAACCGGCTACATCACACCATCAAAAGAGAAGAAAATTACTCCCACAAGCTCCCAAACTCAAGAACAGATCAAGCGATATCTAGAAAGAAGGCCAAATGGCTATTATGTCTATAATATGTATTATGCATACATGATGCAACATGCAGGTCATAGATGAGTATGAATTGAAAAGTTTTAAAGCGTCATGAAATCCAAAGTGGTAACTGCCTATGGAAGAAGGGGTGGGTGCACTTTCCAAAAATCAAACATGGGATTTGGTTCCTCTTCCAGATGAGAAGAAAGTAATCAGTTGTAATTGGATTCATAAATAAAATGTAAATCCAAGGGTAAAATTGAGTGTTATAAGGTGTGATTGGTAGCTAAAGGTGCATCTGAAACTTATGGAGAAGATTATGAAGAGACATTTAGCCCAATTGTAAAGGCTACAAGTGTTCGTGTGATCATCGCCTTGGCAGCAGTTAAAGGCCGGAAACTCCATTAGTTGGACATAAAAAATGCTTTCTTAAATAAAAAAATTGACAAAGGGGTGTATATGTAGTTTGAAGGATATGAAGATCCTATAAAAAGTTATTATATATGTAAGGTGAAGAAGGCTCTATATGACTTAAAACAAGTACCCAGATCATGGTTTGACAAAGTAAACGAGTTCTTTGTTGTCTCTACAGTGGATTCATGCGTATTCATCAATCATTCTTTAAAAGGAACAATATTTTGTCTGGTTAATTTTGATGATCTAATCTTTACGGCAACAACCCAAGTGAAATTGAAAGAAATAAGGATTCGAGTTAAAATGAATGATTTAGGAGAACTTCAATAGTTTATCATAATTGAAATTATAGGCAATGAAACCATGTATATTGATTGGTCATGCAAAAGAAGTTTGCATTAGATTTACTTGCAAAGTTGGGGGTTATGGGTTCAAATCCAATCCAATGGCAACATCACTTGATTTGAACCATAAGCTATCAAAGAATAAAGGGATCTCATTGAAGATGACAGACCATATAGAGTGATGGAAGGTAGCCTAATTTACCTAACCATTACCTAACCAGACTTAGCATATCTAGTTGCAATCGTAAGGTAGTTGATGCAAGAGCCAAAAAACGGCACATGGATGGAGTGAAACAAATCCTGAGGTATGTGAAGACAATCATCCATGAAAGCAAATACTATGAATATGGAATTCCTATCAAGCTTGTAGGTCACTATGATAAAGATTTGGCAGGATGCCTAACCACTCGCCGCTCAATCTCTAGATATAGTTTCATTTTGGGCTCTAGAACTATGTTGCGGGCAAGGAAGAAGCAACCTACAGTAGCATTGTCATTTACCGAAGCAAAATGTAGAGCAGTCAAGATGGCTACATGTGAAAGTGTGTTGTTGACCCAATTACTTAAGAAATTTGGAGAAGCCATGGAATATAATATTCCAATTTATAACAACAACATCATTATAATCCAGTCTTTCATGCACGTATCAAGCATATTGAGGTGCACTATTGCTATGTTTGTGAAAAGGAATTAGCTAAGGAGCTTTATTGCTATGTTTGTGAAAAGGAATTAGCTAAGGAGCTTTATTGCTATGTTTGTGAAAAGGAATTAGCTAAAGAGCTTGACTTGATACACATTCGAACCAATGAACAAGTGGCAGATATCCTCACTAAAACATTGAATCAAACGAAGAAAAAATTTAAGCAAGCCTTAGTCATGAACCATGCTGAAAGAACTTAGCAACAAAAGGAGGTGTTAAAGATAAACATTACTAAGTTAGAAGCCCTGTAAGCATGGGATTAGGATCTAGGATTAAATTGGGTTAAGTAGTTGAGTCATATTATTAAGGAGTTCAATTAGGATGACAGATAAGGATGAAGGTCCATGAAAATAGGTTTAGGATAATAACACAGATAAGAGTTTACCTAGTCCTACTAGGATTAGGAAAAACTAAAAGTGTTATAAATAGGTGGTGGTGGGTCATTGGCGATGTAGGTAGAGCGAGAGAGTTTAAGTTAGAGAAGAGAGAGAAAAGGGGTGCGTAGAGAAAAGTTAGAAAAATGAGAGGCCATTGAAACTAGAGAGAAATTTGCAGAGAGAGAGAGAGTGTAATGTTTTTGCTCCTTCCACGTGTACTTTCAAGCAATTTATTATAACTCTCATAAACTGTTTTTCATTTCTTCTATAGTTTTACATTTTGTTTTCTTCTCCCATTGATCTTGCTATTTTATTCATTTGTTTTGCTCTCTCTCTCTCTCTCTCTCATCTTTGGTTGGGAGAAGGAAACTTAGCAAAAAGATAACCAACAGTCATGTATAAATTGTTGGTTTTTCTTTGCAACGGTTGCCCAATTATTTATGATAGTGTTCTGGGGGAAGTGGAGTTCTCTTAAATTTGAAAGAGATACTACGATAAAGGTATTAATAAGAAGGATTTTCTTGTTTTCACAAATTCTTTTGTATTGAATAGACAAAGCATATACTTTGTTTGAACTTTGAAGAATGGGAATTTGCATTCTAAAAGTTCATAAAAACTATCATTCTCTCTAGATAAATCTGACAGCTTACTAAAAACCGAGTAAGATTTAATCCTTTTGTTATGGCGATCTACTAAATCTCTCTGATGAATGGTGATGTCATAGGTTGGATGAATTTTGGTACTAGAATCATGCTAATTTATTAAATTTTTAAATGCAACTCATAGTTTTTTACCCGACTTACAATTTTTACCACGACTTTTGAAAAAAAATACTGTTCTTTACCAATTAGCTCAGCTCCAATTTGTGGATTCGAATCCTACTTCCCCGGATCGAGAACGTAAAAGCATTCGGCACGTCCTCAGCCGCACCTAAGCCCTCTGTGATGCTGCATCAAAATCCATTATGAAAAGGAAAAAGTTTATATAAGGTGTCAACTTTATACTATTGAAGTAAGTTACACTTCAAAAATCCTCTAAAAGAGAGTCTTACAGTATGGTAAAACCCTCCAATTGATCATCTCGACTTTAAGATCTATAGATATGAAGAAAAAAAGAATTTCAAATTCTAAAAATAATGCATTTTAACAAGTTGTTGGACCGTCTATTTTCAAAATTTTCAAGTGTTTATAGATCTGCTCGATATATATTATTTTCTCTGCTCTAAATTATTTTTTATTTTTTATTTTAATCATATAATGGAACTGACGTTGGGTGTGATTAATGTGGATTTGAAGCTTTTCACTTAGAAAGAAACCCACCCCGAACTATTTAATAAAAAAACTTGGCAATTTGGGTTGTAAATTGGATTGTACTTTGGGCATGGAGATTCAAGAGCCAATTTTCACACAAATTACAACTCATATGAACAATTACATATATCATTTTGAAACATAAGACATCCAAGATTAGGTGCCTTCTTGCAAGAGCTACAATCCCATAACATTTCTTAGTACTACTACATATGGCACAAGCAACTCACAAATGATGCACAAATTGGGGTAAAAAGTAAAAACCACCATCAAATTCTTATATAACTAAGGTATTTGATCCCATTTAAGAGAGAGAGAGAGTGTGTGTTAGCATTGCGAGTCCACAATGCTTTGTATAGACTTGGGTGTTTGATCATGGAGAGAGGAAGCACCGTCACTCTTGGTTCGTTGCAAGGGTGTGGGGTTGCGGTGGTGCCTACACCTGAAGGAGCCAGCATGGGTTGTAGGGGAACAAAGGCAATTCATCTTTCCACTGCCCTGCCTATTAAGGGTAGGTGTCCCACCAACCTCTTGGGTCCGATTAGGGATGCTTAGTGGGCCTGGCTTGTTTGTTACCTTTGGGATGTCCACATTGAGAGCTCCTTCTTCATCCCTAGTAAAACTCCCTATCTCCATTCTATTATCCAGCAGCCTGCAATTTCCCAAGAGATAGATTCACTTTTGAAACTTTGAGAGAGAGAGAGAGAGAGCATTCTTAGAGTTACCATGTTTTCTCAGTGGATTGATGAGGGAACTGTGAATTTTGTTTCATATTTATGTTAAGGTATGTACGTGGATTATTTAAAGGGTCACGTATAACTAAAAATATATGGTTTTATTTAAATATTATTTATATAATAACATTATTCGGGTCTGGGTCCATCGAGTCCAATATTTCGATTGGACTTGATCTGCCGGGTTCAATTATTGGACTCATATCCGAACAAGTATCAAGTCCGTATTTTTGGTGCCGGGTCGGGTTTGGATCCATTGCCACCCCTATATGTAAGTCTTTTGCTTGAGGGTTTAAGTTTCCAATGATCTCGCAAGACATGCTCAATAAAGAGAGGATTTGAACTAGTGTAGGAAAAATTGAACCGGAATGGTTAACCGAATATAGGACCAAAAGCGGTTACTCAGTACTAACCAGTAAACCGGCCAGTTCAACCGGCCTAACCGGGCAAGTCCCGAACGGTTTAAAAAGTGTTAAAAATTTTAAAACTACAAAACTAAAATATGAAAAGTATATCTAAAGCATGATTAAACAAGACAACCAAATGAAGTTGAAAATTAATGAAAGAATAGATATTCAAATAATCGATTTGTGCCAAATGTATTACAAACAAAATCATTTATTTTTTAGGATTTTATGCAATTTTTTTTATTTTTTTTTTAAATACCTAGATGATTTTGATTTAACTGGACGATTAGAATTTGAACCGCTTGATTTTTCCAACATTGGTTTGAACAACCTCTAGTAGGAAATCAAAATATCAATTGATTTATTAGAAATTCATATGGAGAGTAGGGTTCTAGGCTGGTGCAGTTAATTAGCTACAAAACTCATTTTTTATTTTCAAAATTTAAAAATAGTCTCATATATTTTGTATTTTACACATAGGTCCCACCTTTTATATTGGATATTATATTTTAATTTTATGTATATCTAATTAAGCTCAATTCTGAGCAACTATACTTCTCACCATTACACATTTGAAAAATATTAAAAATATATAATAATATAAACAAAAATAGCCAAAACACCCTTATAAAATTTGAAATTTTAGTGGTATTTTGGGTATTTAATTTATTTTAAATTGTTTTTGGAATCTTATAAATGTAAATATTAAAGGAAAAATCCATATATCCCTCTCTTTAAATTTACCTATGAAAAGCCCATAAAACCCCAAAAATTAAAAGAAAAAGACTTGTAACCTCCTCTTTACCATATTTTTGTTATCCAAATTATTGCATCTGCCCATCTGCTTTTTTCTAATAATCTCATCGTTTAAATGGACTTTATGACGCCTCTTTTAACTTATTTATGAGGTTCACAAGATGAGATAGAGAGATAGCATTTAGGGAAGTTTACTAGAGAGAGAGAGGGAGGAAGAGGTCTACATATGAGAAGGAGAGTTTTTACAGGATGTAGATAAAATGGTGATTAAGAAAAGTAGAAGGTTAAATTTCATAATTTGGATAATAGAAAAGGTAATGAAGGGGTTAAATGTTATTTGTATTTAAGTTGAGGGGTTTCATAAGTTTTTCCTAGAACTAAGGAGTTATTTGAGATTATAATTTTAGATAAAGAGTATATGTCTTTTTTCCAATATTTAAATCCCCAAATGAGTCGAATCTTATATATGGACAAGGAAAAAAAAAAAATACAATACACACTTTAAAAAATATACTTCCCCTTATCCAACCGCCCATTCTGAATGGAGGATTAAGATTGCCCCAATCACAGTGTCATGTCTCTACACTATTTTATTTTTAATTTTTTTTCGATAAACTATTTTGACACCAAATTTTGGCTGTCCAATTCTCTATTAAACTCGCACTAGAGAAAAATATAAAAAAAAATATTTCTAATAAAATAAAAAGACCAAAATACCCTTTAAATCTTCAAGGGGTACTTTGGTCATTATATTTTATTAAAAAATTATTTTTAATATTTTTTATAAGTGCGCCCCTAATGAGAAGATGACACGTACCAAATTTTATATTCATATAATTTGTATAAAAAAACTAAAAATAAAATACTTTGAGATGTCGGATCAAAGATCAAATGGTGAGTGGCTCTCTTGACCAAAATTGGATCGCTGGATGGTAGGGAAGCATAGATCTTCTATGTTGTAGAAAAAATATAGAAACCTTTCCTTTCCCCTCCAAAAAATAAGAGCTGAGCATAAAATATAGAAAATATATCTACTGTGCATAAGCGTGCATATAAACACTTACACATAGATGTAGGGAATCAGCAGGTGCCTAATTTGATAAAGGTTATCTATATTTCTTCATGTTTGTTGTTCTTTATCATTTCCTCAACAAGGTTCCTTGATCAAACTGAGGCAAAGAAATAAAAGTTAAGCACATACTTCTTTAGGATACCACAGGTATTCTAAAACACAGCCGAGTGTCAGTGACTCGGACATGCCCCAAGTTGGAGCCGGCCACACACGGCCAGTTCCTACTTTTTAGTATTGATCACTTTTATAGACTCGGCTGAGTCTTTCACGGGCTTAATCAGGTGTATATGGACAACGACTCGGGACTTAGCACAACTTAGACTCAGGACCATGTTGAGTCCTGAGTTTGATTATATTAGTTTTGGACATTGGATCCTTCTCAATTTCAGAGTAGGAAGCGGGCAAACTTGGCCGGTTCCTGTATTTTGGTATTAGCACTTGTACAAACTCATCTAGGCCTTTATTGGACTCAGTGAAGTCTGTACGGATGACTCGGACTCGGGACACTCAGGACCCTGCAGTGCTCTGAGCCTTGTTTCTGAATATTAAATAAAATAACATACAAGCCTACCTGATCTTTGCCTCCGCTACTGCAACAACCTGTAGCCCTGGCCTCTTGTTTCTTGAGGGTTCTCTGGCAGGGTTTCTCCCTTCTAAGGAGTCAATAAAAGCCCTGGATATGAAAACCTTGTGCCCCAAAAACCATTCAATGATCATCCAGGAAAAGCTTGCTAGCCATTTACTTTACATGTGAGGGACCACGTTGATTCACATGTAGGCCCTTTATTTTTGCGATAAAAGCAAGTGCCTCTATCCTTAAGGTCCTAAAGTGGAGAATTCACATGTCTCCACTAAATAAACCTACCCAAACTGCCATATCCATGCTAAGTCATAACGCACAATGAGAAACATATCTGTGTGAGATGGATGGTCATGATGATCCTAAAGGACATGTAACAATCTTATATGAGTGTCCATTGATTGAACACATGAAGTACGAATGGACGGCCGAGATTACTCTAAATGCCAAAGATAAGTTGGATTTTTATGATCAAATCTGAAGAAACTGAATGGTGCAGACCCACTAATGCTTTCTTCACGCTTGTTGCATCTGCACTAGCCACTCAGACCTGGTCAATGGCTTTTGGCATATGGCTTTGGTTTTCTTAATTATTGTAAGAAGAAAAGTTTATATTTGGGTATGATTCATTCCACTCTCTTGGGCCCCCTCATACCAACATTCTATAGTCCTCTATCATGATCCCTTCCCTTTCTTTGCATTTCATCCACATAAAAACCAAAAATATTTAGAGAGGCTTAGCATGCCCTTCCCCACCTCCTCATTACCCCCATCTGCAATAGTGAACATTGTGCTAGAAAAGGCAAGGGAAGAAATTCAGTACAAACTTATAATCATTTGTTTGTTTTTTTTAAAATAAAGTCCATATCTTATCAAGTAACAATGAGAGATGGTAACTAACAAAGCAACCATCTAATTTTTCCTATATTTTTATAAATATTATTTGAAATATTGCTCTTTAAATAACAAAAAATTATGCATACATTCCCAAGAATTTGTTGGATTTGGTGCTATCCAAAATCACCCACATAAGCAAATCCTATATTTTGTGGGATTGATTGAGATTGATCTATATTATGTAGGATTGAGATATTCCTGTATTATGTGGGATTGGAATTGATATTAATAAGTTTCTTATGGGAAATAGAAATTCAAAAAGGATTAAGACTATTGGATATATCTCTTGGTCTTTTTTAAGATATATGTAATAGGAAGGTTCTTATTTAATATAGATTCCTAACCTTATATATATGGGAAGAAAGTACAGAGAATTTTTGTGTACCCTATTTAGGTCATTATATGGGAATGGTGGTTTCTTCTATGGAGAGAGGGGGGCAGAACTTTCTGTACATAAGATGCAATGTCCTTTAAGATAAGAGAGCTTCTTATGAAGAAAAACATTGATGGTGCCTCTTGAAGACTCCGGCAAAGTGAGAGGTTGGTTTATTGTACAAAAACGGTTCCCACAGAGACATTTGGTGGTTTCCTTTAAGTGAGATAAAGTCTCATTTGCTCACAAAGTTCTCTTCCTAAACAGTGGTTTAGTTATGGAACAAAGATAAGAGATCTATAGTGGTGCCATTTGGGAGAGCAGGTTTAAAAAGATTTGTTTGACTTGAGTTTTTATCGATGTTTGTTCCAAAATCTTTGATGTAACTTTTCATTGGAATAGTGGATTTCAGCTATCATGCCCGTGGATATAACCCTTTTGGGGTGTGAGGTGAACCACGTAAATCTCTGTACTCTTGTTGTATGTGTTTCATATTTTATTTCTTATACTTTATTTGTCAAATATTAACCCATTGATTTTAGAGATTATTTGCCAAATACTAACTAACCCATCGAGTTTAGAGAGCTTCCGCGCACAACAGAATTACCTTTTTCCTTCGCTTTTTCTTAGTCCAAATTTGATATTAATAAAGGACATGACTTCGGATATTGAAGGTCTTGAATCATGAATATGAGACAAGATCTGAAGTCGTAGGTGTCTGAAGATCTTGAAGATCCAGCACAGTGGCTACTTGAAAGAGATATATGCATAGATTTCTCTTTAAATTACCACTATCTTTGATTCTTTTTTAAAAGGTTTATGTTAGGATGCTCACATTATGGAGTAATTCATCATTGTACTCAACAATTTTTGACACTTTTATATAATTGTTTTGTATATGAAACATTTTTTTTAATAAGGGTATTTTTTTATCATTATGAGGGGTGTGACGTCATCCACATGGGATGTGACATCACCCACATAGAGCACACTAGTGGTATTTAATGCTTCATGTGAGTGATAATACACCTCATATGAATGATGTCACACCCTTCCAAATAATAAAAAATACCCTTATTAAAAAAAACCTCCTTCTACAAAATAAGGTATATTAATGTTCAAATTTTATTGAGTACAATATTAAATTACCCCATAGTGTTAACACTCTAATATAACCATTTTTTAAAATATCATGTACGCCGTATATCCCTAGAATGCACAAAATCGAAATTTATGGAATAAATTTGTGCTCTTCCATGGTCCATTTTCAGGTTAATTAGACTTTGAAATTTTGCAAGTGCGCTCGTTTATTGTTACATCAAGGAACATGGATGAGCGCATGCTTCTAGGCGAAATTTTGTAAAGGATTTCTGACCACACCTCTATGAGCAAAGCAAGTGCTAGCTTCCCTTCCCTCCAAGTGATAACTCTGTGTATTTCATAACAAAGGTTTGAGAGCCTTGGTTTCATAGCTTCATGATGGTAAGCAAGCAAGGGGTCAGCTAGGGTCAGGTCCAGCCAAGAAATTGCGCGGCACCTTGAGCCGGCCCAGGGCTTTGGCAAGGTGGCTTGTGACGCAGCTGGTAGCCAACCAGCATTACAAACGCATTCTAAATAGAGAAAGAATTGATTAAGAAAAAAATCTTTAAGAAAAGAACATAATGAGGGGAACCGAACCCACAAAGAGAACAAGTATCTGTCACTCTTTACATATTAAACTACTTTTTTTATTCAACGAATATGAGCAAATACGATAGATGTCCATCCATTTAATACTAACTTCTTAAACTCTTTCTAAACCTTTCCCTTCTGAACGGATTTCCTTTCCAAAAAAAAAATCATACTCTCTCCTTCTCACAAAAGATAACCTCCTACCCACCTTAATCTTAAAAGATAAATATTTTTATTCCTATTATATTTTCTTAAAAATAAGGCTGCTTAACAATAACAAAACTCTTATTATCCTTAAACAAAACATATTGTAAAAAAAAAATAAAGATGGGCTAGAAAGCAGCAATAAAAAACACTAAAAAGTACGACAATTTCTTGCGACCATATTTTCGGGTATCTATATACTTTAACTCTATCAGTATAACCAAGAAAATACACTTCTTTAATCTTGTTGGACCTATTCAGCCTTCACATGAATATATTCAATAAAACTAAAAATTCTTAAACAAGAATAATCAGCGGATTTACCAATCCACACTCCTTGCGGTGTTTTGCACCTTATCTCTAAAAATAGTATCTTGTTAACGAGGTAGAATGTCCTACTAATGGCCTCTGCCTATGAGTCCTTTGACAACTAGCATTACTCAGCATGTTGAGGGCCTTCTTTAGAAGTATCATGTTCGTGCATCAAGAAGTCCATTACATTGTGGTGTCCACGGAGTAATGTAGTGATGAATAATTTTATCATTATTATAAAAATTCACAAACTCAACTGAAGTATATTGTCCATCACTAGCAATCCTTATTACTCCACCATCTTTCCAATTTGTCTTTCAACTTTTGCTTCTAATGTTCTAATGTGTTGAGCATGCCTACTTTCTTCTTTAATGTATAAATTCATACCTCCATTGAGAAATCATCTATAAAGGAAACAAGGTGCAGAGGTGCTCCTTTTCAGACAATCGGCACAAGGCCCCAAACATTTGAATGAACACACTTCTTCACGCCATGATCAATTGATGTTCGCTCAATTCTACCAAACCTTTCTTACTCATTTAGATCAGCCGCATATGCAATAACTTAGTCCAATTAGAATCACCACCATCGCATATGGAAACTATTACACCTTTCGTGGTGGTATGCCCAAGCAATACACATAAATTCAGTCCAATCCTCTTGCCTTTCATCATAACAATCGTACCCTCTTGAACTAAACTTTTAGGACTCCATATTTTATAACAGATAGACATCCAATGAAGTCTAAGCAACCAAATGCGTCATGACTCTTTTTTAAATCTGGAACATTTCACATTAGTCAAGGTTCTCACAACTCTATCATACATCTTAATACTAATTATCCCTATATCAATGCTCTTATGAGCCACACCCTTCCCCACCAAAACTGAGCCACCATCAACACTCTTGTGTGGGGTGAACCAGTCTATTGAAGGCACATGTGATAAGAATACCTCAAAACAAGAATCCATGAAGCTTTAGGATAATCACAAATCATTTAGACTGATGATACATTCTCAACTACACTGTCTGAGCCTCATCAATAATATTAACTGCATCACAAATTGTTTTCCTTCTCTTTGTGCTTTTGATAATCATTCTTTAAATGTCCTTTTTTTCTTATAATAATAGCATCGAGCATCACCATTTCATAATTTGGATTTCGATCTAGACATGCGCTGATTTTCATATCCCCAGTCTTTTTGCCACCTAACCTCCCTCTATCTATTAGACCTTATCCTTATCCTCATCTTCCACATATAGGCATCCAACATTTGCTAGACCCTTCTCAGACTTGTCCTAGACCTAAAAATATACTTTTGGCTCATCCAAACATCCTTGTCCTCTCCTAAACCAACTCGGGCCCGTGCTAGCCTAGTAGTTCATATTGCACTATACCTTGTGATTCATAGACCATAAGAAACAACTTAGAAATACCATAGTAAGGCCCATAGTTATGAAAACCCTAACTAATTAGCCCGGAAGACATTTAGTGAGCCTTAAACCTTCTAAATTAACCCATGCCATAAGGAAAACATTCCCAATTAGGCTACCCATCCATAAAACCTATCTAATTAGGTCAACATGCTCTTAACAACCTATTAAATCTGCCCTAAATACTAGATTAGGAGCCCCACCTTGATTGGCCACAAAATCATCCATTAATTACTCTCTTTAACCAAAACCTTATTTTCTCACCCAAAATAATCAAAATAAAAAAATAAAACTAAGTATGTAAAATGGGTCAT